GCCGACACGGCCTTAATGAGTTGGTTATACATTCAGAACCCAAGCTGAAAGCTTCCCCTTTGAAGTGTTTCTCTGGGGAGTGGTGATTGCTTCTCTTCTATCATATCCGGAGAGATCTTAGCTTTAAATAGCGCTCTTCCCACAAGGCTTGCATTCACACATGTATATATTGAGTGAGCCTGGACTAAGGAACCAGAGGGTTGGTTAATCTGTTGTACATTTGGCCTCATTAAGGGCCCGGTGAATTTTGGAGGAAGGATCAAGTTTGGGTTCATTGTCAAACACCAAGTAGAATACAGATTAAGATGAGAAGATGATAGACATGTTAGGGGAGGAGAGAACGGATTTTGAGGATTGTCATGTCTTCCAAACAAACAAACAAAATGACCCAGAGAATTTCAGGTCTCCGGCCTTTTGTGTCCACAGTCCAGAGAATTCTGAGGGTCACAAGAGTGACTTTAAAATCTTGAGGAATTAAGGGTTGCTCCTTGAAGTGACCATGTGCTGAAGTAAAAGCTGGGGCCAAAGCCTGTATTGGATGTGTTGTCTCCCATTTTTGTCACTCTCAGAATAGAATCAAAATTCCTCACCTCCAAATGGTGGAAATGTACCTTCCTAATTGGTGTCAAGGATAACTAGAACGGGTTTGTAGCCGTTCACAAAACTAGAGACAACAGGTCCGTAGTTTTATATACCAAGGTGTCTGCACATGGCCCGAAGGAAAGTGTACAGCTAGCTTGCCTTTGCCCTGCTACATACTAAAAGCCTTCAACTTTAGTGTCTTACTAAGTGATTGTCAACACATTTCCAAACTGTGTTGAACTGCAGTGCCTTTTGTCAAATGCAGATGAACTACTGTAGATTCATGTTGGGTTTTAATAAGATTGTATATAAGGATATTCCAGAAGTTTGTGGAGAATGGAATAGATGTTTATGTTGATGTAAAAAATTTTAAATGTATGCATATGATTTTTTTTTAAAGATGTATTTTATTTTTATTGCAAAGTCATATACAGAGATGAGGAGAGACAGAGAAGGATCTTCCATCCGATGATTCACTCCCCAACTGGCCACAATGGCTGGTACTATGCCGATCTGAAGCCAGGAGCTAGGAGCTCTTCTGGGTCTCCCACGCAGGTGCAGGGTCCCAAGGCTTTGGGTTGTCCTCAACTGCTTTCCTAGGACAGAGGCAGGGAGCTGGATGGGAAGCAGGGCCGCTGGGGTTAGAACTGGCACCCATATGGGATCCCGGCGTGTTCAAGGCGAGGACTTTAGCCGCTGGGCCCATATGATTTTCATAGTATACATTTTCCATGAAATCTCTGAAGACCATTCATACATAAGGAGTTATTTTTATAGTTGATTTTTCATTTTATTTGAATGCAAAGAGAGAAGACGGGATTTATTGTTGTCTCCCGTTGATATTATGGTTCTTTCCAACATTAAAAAAAAATTTTTTTTTAATTTACTTGAAAGGTGAAAAGCATGTGTGAGAGAGATCTTCATCATCCCCCAGATGCTCACACAGCCAGTACTGGCCAGGCCAAAGTAGGAGCTGAAAATTCCATCCAGATATCCCATAGGTGACAGAGATGCGTGCACTTAATCCATGGTCTGCAGTGTGCCAGTGTATGACCTAGCTTGAAGCTGCATCAAGCCGAATACCCAGGACTTTGCCATCTACAATGAGGGTATCGCAAGTCAAACGGTGCCACCACTATTATGTCAAATGCCAAATTCCATCTTTTATTAGCTTTTTGAAGTACTGTCTTTTGGGAGAATACAGTATAAAGTTTTAAGCAGTAGTCGAACATATACTTTGGCTGCTATAATTTTCAAAAGTTTGTTACTCAAAAAATATTAACTGGTAGCTGTATTATTGCAGAGTCAAGGTCTGGGGTCAACTTGTAAGTAAATTTTGTGTACTTTGATAAGGTGCTAGAATATTTGTTCTGCAGCAGTAAAAGGCATCGACACAGGACATTTACTGTACTACAGTATTACAGGACAGAGAGGTTCACTTGACCAGTGTTACACAGTCATGATTTTTGGTGCCACGTTATGGAACAGTGTAATCCTGAGTTGGGAACTGCTGCTCATGAACTCTACACTGTGCTGTGTTTCAGTTCTCAGGGTTAGATAGTAACTCCATAAAGCATAACTTTAGAGAACATCACAAAATTCCTTTGGGGTGCTCTTTATATCTTCCTCTGGGTCCTCAGCTAGCGTTCTTTGAACAGCTCTGTATTCCTCATCTACCTTAAATATATCGTTTCTGGACTGCACAGGTTATGCTGCCAGTAAAATCTCAGGAGCCACCTTACTTTCAACTGTATCATTTCTTCTATCTGACCTACGTCTCTTTTTTTTTTTAAACAAAATTTGCATGGCTTTCAAACTTTTGTGCGACAATAAACTACTTCTGTTTTTTTTTCATTAACTTTTTGAAATACACTCATATACTTGTACAATCTGATTTTAATAATTATAGATAAATATTACACAGTGAAAAATGAAAAATTTTGTTTTCTGCAATGAATGCACTTTTTTACCAATAGTCCAATAATTTATCAAAGACATGAGTTGCTAAAGAAGTCTATCCTTATGTTGGAAACTATTATTTTCATGTTGCCCAGCAGGCAGAATTATTTATACATTTTCTATTTAAAACTCAATTAAGATAGAGGATCTAGGAAAGAGTTTTCGTTTTAGCATATGTACCTGGAATTTCTTTAGGCACTGTCAGTGGGTTAATGTTGATCTCTATCTGGTTTGAAACACCTATGTGTATAACACAAAGAAGCATAAGGTATGGCTTTTTTTTGTAAGTACTTCCCATTGTAGGTATTAATGAGTGATCTGAATAACAATTTATAATAGCAGTGGAAGGGAGAAAGTGTAAAATTACATGTTTGGCAATGACCTAGAGAATATTATGTAACACGTTTGCTTGCACCAACTGAGTGATGGAAGCTATCCAAAATGTAAAATAATTACTAGTTTTAATTGTTGAAATACTTGTGAAACAAAAGAAAATTTCAGGTTGTGGTGGATAGGACTAGATTGAATTTGAACCTTGTTTTGTTTTGTTTTTGAGACAGAGAAAGAGAGAGAGATCTTCCCTCTGCTGGTTTACTCCCCAAATGACTGAGGAGCTGGGATGGGGCCAGCCTCAAGTCTGGAGCTCTATTTGGGTCACAGCTGGGACTCCACTGGCATTCACATGGGATGCTGGCATCACAAGCAATAGCTAGCCTTTCAAGCCACAATGCCAGCACCTCTGTTCCTTTCTAAATTACGAGTATTATGAGCAGAGTTGTGCGGCAGGTTAAGGCACTTCCTGCTGCAGCACCCTGTGGGGCTACAGGTTTGTGTCCTGGCTGCTCCACTTCTGATCCAGCTCGCTGCTGAAGCACCTATGAGGCCAGCAGAAGATGGCCTAAGTCCTGGGGCCCCTGCCACCCAGTGCAGGAAGCTCCAGTGAAGCTTCTGGCCCCTCACTTCTGGCTTCTGGCTTTGACCTGGCCCAGCCCAGTTGTTGCAGCCTTTTGGGAAGTGACCCAGTGAGTGGAATGTCTCTCACCCCTTCCTCCTTTCTCTGTAGTTCTACCTTTCAAATAAATATAAAAATCTTTAATAAATAAAGTGTTGGTGGTCAGATCTGTCCTTTTATTTGCTTCTATGTACTATTTGAGCCTCTACTATTTTATCTTTTGACTAGAATAACAATTAAATAATTTGAAATTCGAAAGGTCTTAAAAAGCATTAAAACCAAAATGTTTCTACCCAATTTCTCATTCTGGAAGCTTTCAGTACTAGTTTGTTTTAGGCCCTTCTAGAAATGTCTGGAAACAATTTTACATTTTAAAATTACTTAACATATAATGTAACTATGAACTTAAAGCAAGAATGAATTGTTCTTCATTTTCTTGAATGAAGAAGTTTAGGGCTGGAATTGTTCAAAAAGGGACTAGAGGGTGATTGTATTCAGTGTAAGTCATATCATATGTAAAGTCATCTGATAGTTGGTACTGCTTCTTTTGTTCTTGCTTTGATTTCCTTCCCTGATGTTGCTGGATGCTACTATTGTACATGATTTGTTTATTCCTGATTGTACAAGGTACGTTCCTTCAGGGCAGTATTTCACCATTGTTCCAATACTGAACATAGTGTTCAGCATGGCATATGTGCCTAAGATGTGTTTTTTAAAAGAGTGAGTGAGTTAATAAGTACGAAGAGGTAGGTAAATTAGAAAATAATGTGATAGTGGTTTCTTGTTGCCTTTACTCCCTTTAATTTTTTTCTTTTAATAATGTTTACATAGTAGATCAGGATGGGAAGGATTGAGGGGGGGAAAAGTAGGTGTGATCATTGTTTCCAATTTTTTTGTTTTAATTTTTATTGGAAATTCAGATTGATAGAGTGAAGGAGAGATAAATCTTCCATTGCTGGTTCACTCCCCAAGTAACTGCAACAGTCGCTGCTGAGCCGATCCAAAGCCAGGAGCCAGCGCAGCGTCCCAAAGCTTTGGGCTGTCCTCAACAGCTTTCCCAGGCCACAAGCAGAGAGCTCTGGAATGGAAGTGGAGCAGATGGGACACAAACTGGTGCCAATATGGGATCCTGGGCATGCAAGGCAAAGACTTTAACCACCAGGCTCCCACCCCAGGCCCTGTTTCCAAATTTTCTATTCCAGTTTCTGGAGAAAGGGAGGAGATAAGGGGAGAAGTTAAACCTAGCCTTCCAACCGACCCAGTACCCAAGATGGGGAGTGGCCACCTGATATCAACCCAGGTTCCTGATGCAGTGCACGCTCTGAGGGTTCTGCCCAGCTGGTTTTTATACTTCTGAAATGCTGTTGGTCTCACTGATCCAAGGATGAGGAAACCTTTTCGATGTCGATTGGCTGACACAGTCAACCTTACATTCTCCATTTGTCTAGATATTTGCTGTCATTGTTTGGTTGGGGTAGTTGTCCAATTTATTCTGTTCTCCTTGCTCTGTGCTTGTACCAGATGTCCTCTGCAGGCACCAGTGGGCTGCCATATCTTCCCTGTTCATCATGGCCTGCCATCTAGCACTCCATCCTTTACACTGAGGAGGACCAATTCTCATACTTGGGCCCAAGGACCCGGCCAGGTGACCCGGATCCTGCTGTATCCCCCAGCCCCTGGGGCTCAAGGACCTGGCACCCACTGTGCAGGTGGGCCCAAGGTCCCAGGCCATGAGACCAAGGCCCTGATGAACCCTCCACCTCCGGGGCTAATAGGCCCAAGATCTAACACACAGGTGAACCCTTTATTTTTAAAACTTTTTTTTTTTTCAAAATAATCAACGATTTTGTTTGTATATGTGTAAACATCATTTTCTCAGACAACACAATTAGATGTTTCTTAGGGTAAGAAATTAGAGATAGAGTGATAGTTGATAGAAGTCTTAAAAGGGTTTTTTGTTAAATCACTTGCAAATTATGGGATGGGGTTGTCTTTAGCATTAAATTATTAGAATGTGATTTCTTGTTCCTTCAGAAATGTTAAAAGTTGGGACAAGTATTTGGTGCAAGGATTAGGTTGCTGTGTGGGACCTCCATGTTCTATATTGGAGTGTCTGGTTTGAATCCCTGCTATTCTGCTTCTGATCCAGCTTCTGTTCATGTGTAGTCTTGGAGGCAGTAGATGGTGACTCAACTAACGGGGTCCCTGTCACCCATGGTGAAGACTCAGACTAAGGTCTGGATTTGCTTTGGCGTGGCCTACTGTGGCCCTGACTGTTGCTGGCATTCAGGGAATGAAGCAGTGAATCAAAGTCTGTTTGCCTCTGTCTCTCTTTCTGTTTTCAAATGCAATGACCAAAATAATCGAATGAAAATAATGAATTAAAAATGTTAGAAGTTCAGAAAAGGCCATTCTTTTCAGTTCCTTTAATCATCAATGTGTGCTCTTAGGTATGTGAATACAAATTTTCTACAACAATTACATTTTCTGGGTTTATAAAATCAGAATAAAACAAAAAATGATTTAAAAACACATGATAAAATTGAGATTAAAGGGCATTGGTCATCTGTAAAAGTATCATTAGGAACTTATAGGACATATCTAAGAAGTCATATAGAAAAAGGAAGCGGTATTTTTCACATTTTGGAGCAATATTCTAATTAAGTTTTAGGACACGTTGCTAAAATTGTACTGTTCAGATGTTTAATCATTTGTTCACTGATAGAATTGACAAATATTATTGAATGCCAGACACACCTTCACTATAATAATCCTCTTTAATGACTCAAACAAGCTTCTCTATGTATGAATCACTGTAATGTAACTGTGCATCCATTTTTACTCAATTTGAATTACCTAGAAAATCAGTTATAAGACTCATGATGTTGAAACACCTGTGACCGTTGCTGTGTGACCACTAGCTCACTCTCTCCTGGATTTGTTTTCTGTGGTAAAACCTCAGAGCATTGTTTCACAAAGCAGTTTGCACAGAAACTTCTTGTATGTTTGGAATTCAGCTTTTTTTCCTCCATGTGCTACTACCTTTTTAACAAGAATTGGGAAATATAGTTTTCTATTAGTCTTTCCTGCTTTTGTATTAATGCACACTTGTCTACAACCCCTAAATCTTAATTTTTTATTTTATCTGGTTGAGCATGCCTTTGCTTTTACCATAATAGCATAGATTTTTCTACAGAAAAACTTAAATTGCCATGTATGTTTACAATTATGATTTGATATCATTGTTTTATTATGTTTCTGAAGTAGGGCTTAGGTATTATATATTCCCTGTTCACCTTACAATGGTTTTTAGAAGCAAATTTAGCCAAATTTAAAATGCAAAAGCCTCAGATGTTAAGAAGTCTGCCTCCCCTCGGGATATTAGAACAGTCCCAAAGATAGAGCTTAATTACAACATGATATAGAGTGCTAGCTCATTGATGGGCTGTATTGAATGATCTGTGTTTGGACGATTGCCAAGATTTACACCATCCCCAAAGATTGTGTGTGTGTGGAAATAATCACCTGCTGTCTCTAATTTCTGTATTTGACTTAAACCTGTAGGAGGAGTTTTATGGAAGAAAATTGATTGTTGCTGATAGAGAAGAGGTGGAACAAGAAGCTGATAAAATTTTGGAAGATGCTAATATCAGTGATGTTGCATTTCTTGTAGTTGGTGATCCCTTTGGGTAAGCTAATTTGAATTTTCAACTTAATGATTTTTTTTTTTCACTACGTGGGAGTTTACTCTGTCATATTTAGTTTTTTTAAACCTAACAGATCCTAGTAAGAGATCCTATTTAGTTCAGTAAACCGTATCTAAAATTTTTGTGGTGTAAAGTTTCATTGTTGTTAAGATTAATGGAGAAGATCTGCTTGTTAAAGATACTGTCATTTCACCACTGTGTTATCAGGTGTCAACTCCTGAAGTTTGTATCATTGCTGCTTCTGTTTTTCTTGAAAGTGATCAAATGCCTCAACTATTATTTCACTATTAAATAGATGCTTTTAAAATTATCAAAAGTCATGCCTGCCATTTGGTTCATATTGTTGGAGTGTCTTCAGTTTCCTTGGCTGTAGACTTTTCCTTTGTTTCTTAAACCATCTAGTAGTTGGCAATATTGCTGTCGTCTTATTTGCCTTAAGTTTATTGTTTATAAAGCCTCTGGTTTCAGTTGCTTCTGTCTTTTGGGAGCTTCTTGTTACCAAGAAGATGAGCTTCTGGTTGTCTAGTCAAGCATCATCAATCTCTGATGTCAAGCAGGACAGAGTTCTTTGTCTGCAGCTGATGACCCAAGATTTATGTCAAGGACTAAAGAGCTTAAGGACAATTAAATTACTATGTGCCCACCAACATGGATATTTTTCAAGAGAATGGAATTATCTGTGTATGTGTCTGTCAAAAAGAAAATAATTTATAGCAGTATGAGGTGCTAGATATTATGTTAATTTCTGTGCTTAATTTTAAAAGACATTGAATAATCTCACATTTTTAAACATTTAAATAGCTTGATTTAGTGTCTGAAATGCTTTTCTGTAAATGTAAGATTTCCCTGGAGTTAGTGGTATTTGTCTTTTTTGAAGCCATGATAGTAAACAAAATGAGAATAATGATAACTAATTTTATAAGAAAATACCTTATAAATCATAGTGCTTTCTTTTTCAAAATCAGAGTTACAGAGAGTGGAAGAATCAGAGAGAGAGGTTTACTCCCTAGATGGCTGCGATAGCCAAGGCAAATCCAGAACATAGCCAGGAACTTGTAATAGTCTATTATGTGTGTGGCAAGATCCAAAGTACTTGGGCCAATTGTTGCTTTTTCAGGCCAATAGCAAGGAGCTGGATCTCTCTTTCAATCTCTTCTCTCTCTGTGATTCTGACTTTCAAGTAAAATAAATAATCTTAAAAAAAAAATAGTCTGTAGCCTTCTATCCCTAATCCTACCTTAAAGAGTTACTGAATAGAGGTGTTCATTAAAGATTTATTTGTGTCTGTTAGAGAGGCAGATTTACAGAGAGAAAGGAGAGAGAGAAAATTCCTCCATCTCCTATTTCCCTCCCCAAATGGCAGTAATGGCCAGAGCTGAGCCCATCAGAAGCCAGGCTCCAGGAGCTTCTTCCAGGTCTCCCGCCCCAGTGCTGGGTCCCAAGGACTTGAGCCAAGCTCCATTGCTTTCTGAGGCTGTAAGCAGGGAGCTGGGTCAGAAGTAGAGCATCCAGGACACAAACGTGTGTCCATACGGGATGTCAGTGCTTGTTGGTATAGGATTAGGCTGGTGAGACACAGCGCTAGCCCCAGCTCTTACTTAAGCAGACTCTTTCCCATCGTCTGTTTTTTGTGTATATGTTTTATAGTTCTTCTCTGTGAGTGTGTGAGTATCTAGTAAATTAACATTATTTTTTAGCTCTTTGTACACTTTCCTTAGTGCACACCTTTAAAAAATGTACCTTTGTACTTTTGTCTCTTTTGAATTCCTAATATACGCAATTTGATCATTTCTATTCTGAGTAATCCTTTTGAAGAGTACTTGACACCTAGTAAGTATCCAATGAATGTCACCATTATCATTAATCAACGTTTTTCCTCACCATAAATAAAGCGGCTGTGTATACATTCGTGTATATAATCCTTTTCACCTTCCCATTTTTCCGTCTTAATATTCTTTTTTTTTTTTTTTAAAGATTTATTTTTATTATTTTTTCATTGGAAAGGCGGATATACAGAGAGGAGAGACAGAGAGGAAGATCTTCCATCCGATGATTCACTCCCCAAGTGAGCGCAACGGGCCGATACTATGCCGATCCGAAGCCAGGAGCCTCCTCCGGGTCTCCCACGCGGGTGCAGGTTCCCAAAGCTTTGGGCTGTCCTCGACTGCTTTCCCAGGCCACAAGCAGGGAGCTGGAAGGGAAGCGGGGCTGCCGGGATTAGAACCGGCGCCCATATGGGATCCCGGGCGTGCAAGGCGAGGACCTTTAACCACTTGCGCCACCGCGCCGGGCCCCCGTCTTAATATTCTTAAATAATTCCTTGTGATAGACTTTTGTAAAATAAGTTCTTAGGATAAAGATATTAAAAGTTATGCATGGGACATTTTCTAGTGTATAAAACAGTGCCAGATTATTTTTTTCAAAAGAAAGTCATAACTTATAGTGCTTCCAGTTATCTATGAGATTATTTTTTTACCTTATTTTTGCAAATCTTAGAAAGTTTACAAATCACCAATCACATTTATCTTGGTAGTACTACATCTGTAAACTGGTAAATGTGGTTTGATCAAGTAAAATTTAAAACCAAATGCTAAAGTGTGAATCGTGAAATTGTTCACCCCATTTATTGTTTCAATTAATAAAAACATTTTTGGGTCTACTCCTTTGAAGATGTCTTTGGAACATTACTGAGACAAGATTTGTTGTCTGTTTTTTTAACTATTTCTGGGCATTTGTTCAGTCGAGTTTTGGGTCCTTTGAATTGTGGCACATACCTTCACGATAAGAAATCTGTACGTATGCAGGAAAATCAAGATAGCGGAATAGGGTAAGGAGGGAAAAACATTTAACCAGGATGAAGCAGAGAGGACACATTCCAGGAAATAGGAGAGGACAGAACAACAGCAGAGGGGTACCTGGAGACTGACAGACACAGGAAAGCAGCAGACACAACAGGCATTGCAGTGACTGATTCAGCAGCATTCAGCTAATGACGATCTGAACTCCACCAGCAGCCAGAACTCCACCAGCAACCAGGTATGAAGGGACCTTTACTGGGAGCTTGGGAGGTGAACCCAGACGAAGAACTGTCCCTCCTGCTGGTCTGTTTGATTTGACCAGGAACAGAGACAGAACAGCAGATTCCAGACAGACAGTGGGAGAACAGGGTGGATTTTGCAGCCCAGTCAGCCCCTAGAGCCAAATAGGGCACCATTTTCCATAAGGAGGCAAAGGCAAGGTAAAGGACTGAGTATACCCTGACTGGGAGTGAATTCATTTCTAACTCAGTGAACTACATCAATGTGACATTCTACAGATTCCACCCAAGACAGGTCTGGGTAGCCCTCAGACCTGACGACCAGCAGATCAAGAACTCTAGTAGTGGTATGTCAGGTGTTATTTTGTACACTGTGGCAATAACTTTAGGACTGAAGAGGACAACAGTGAACTGCATATGTGCTGAGCTCGCGAGAACTCACTGAATTCCTTGGATTGCACTGGTCCCTCTGGAAAATAATACCGATTGTGGCATCATACAGGTCAAAATAGGTCCGTGTGGCACCGAGACCTAATGTCCAACAGGTTCCGGCAAGATCAGCGCCACCAGCAACTTAGCTATATAGGACACCTGGTGTCTCCCTAATCCTGGAACCTGCACCAACCAGAAGATGGAGAAAGGTTGCAGAGACAACGGTGCAGCTTCAGCACAGTATCACAGGAGGTGGAGAGTGGTGAGCCAAGAGTTGGGGCTGCGTAGTTCTTTGTGGAAATCTAACATAAGAACCCAGACCTGGCACAATTGGCGCCAAGCAAAGAGTTGTGTACCAACTTCAATAAGTAAAGTCAAACTGTAGACCTGTGGGTGACATAGCTTAGAAACCTACCCCCAGGAGAAGAAAGTAATAACCAGAAGTACAATGACAAAGAGCAGAAAGAGACAAAGGCACAATGAGTATTACTGAAAACTCCCCTGCAAAGGAGCAAAACCCTATGCCAACCTCAGAGTTAACTGAGGAAGACATTGAGAAAATGGGGGCCACAGAATTCAGAAAACTCATTTTAAACCTTCTGATAAAAAAACGAGAAACACATACAAGAGTTCAAAGGACTTAAGGAAGCAGTAAAGCAAATCAAGGCTGATATGTCAGAAATTAAGAACACAGTAGAGCAAGTTAAAAGTATAATGGAGAGTCTCCAAAGTAGAATGAAGCAAGCAGAAGAAAGAATCTCAGAATTGGAAGACATTTCCTGTCACCAGGGGGAAGCAAACAAAAAGCTGGAAGCAGAGCTGGATCAGGCTAAAAAGTATTCAAGAACTGAAAGATACTATTAAGAGGTCAAACATAGGAGTTACGGGAGTCCCAGAAGGTACAGAAAGAAAAACTGGTTTTGCAAATGTATTTAATGAAATAATAAAGGATAATTTCCCTAATCCAGAGAAAGAATTGGGAAACAAGATCCAGGAGGGGCACAGAAAATCCCATCAGGCCTGATCAAAAGCTATCTTCACCAAGACACATGATCATCAAGCTGTCTTCAATGGAACATAAAGAAAAGATCATTAAATGTGCATGTGGAAAAAATCAATTGTCATATAAAGGAATGCCAATTAAACTCACAGGAGATCTTTCACAGGGAACTCTACAGGCAAGATGAGAATGGAGTGACATATTCCAGATCCTGAAAGAAAAAAAATGTGGGCCTAGGATAACATCCAGCAAAGCTTTCTTTTGTCTTTGAAAATGAAATAAAATTCTTCCACAGTAAAGAAAAGTTAAAAGAATTTGCCTCTTCCAAACCTGCCCTACAAATGATACTTCAACATGTTCTCTTGACAGAGAAGAGGAATAGCATCAAACAAAGCCAAAGGCAAATGTGAATTACATCCCAGTAAAATGACAACAGAAGACTAAACCAATGAACAACCCATTCCTAAAATGACAAGACCAAAGTACCACCCATACATATTAACCCTGAACGTAAATTGCTTAAGCTCAATCAAACGTCATAGATTAGTAGACTGAATTAAAACACAAAACCAATCTATTTGTTGTCTAGAAGAGACACATTTCACCAACAATAATCAGTGGAAACTGTATTGCATGGGTTTTCATGTTTTCTGCTAGTTTCATCTCTTCAAAACAGTTTCTTGTGATTAAATTCTTCAATGACTCATAGATCATACAGTAGCATCATTTTCTGCAAGAAGGTTCTTGATTTTCATTTCTTCATTGACATATTAGTCATTCAGTAGCATGGTATTTAATTTCATGGTGTTGTTAATTTCTTTTTTCTTCCTGATGTTGATTTTTTTTTTGTGGCTCTTCATTTAAGGGGATGTATAGTAGCTGTGCAATGGAGACTATCATATCTAGTAACATGTTATTTAACTTCATGGCGTCGTAAATTTCTATTTTTCTTTCTATTGTTGTTTTTGTATTGTGACTTCATTTGAGGGGATGTACAGTAGCTGTGAAATGGAGAATACCGTATCCAGATGTGAGGATACAATGCAGTATGCATTTCTACTTCCAGACAAAGATGGACTTACAATGAAACTGTTTACTCTATCTTGACAATAGGATGCTGGACTCTGCCATTGTCCATGCCCGCAATGCTGGACATATGACTGTGTATGAAGTACTATACTTTAGTAATGATTTAGAGGAACTAGGTGTGTGTGGGTGGGGGAGGATTGGGGCTGGGATAAAGGAAATGCCAGGAGCCTGTGGAACTATATCATAAAATGGTAATAATAATAATAAAATGTAAAATGTGAAAAAAAGATATCTCTACATATGTATATAGTTAAGTGATCATTTTAAGTGAGCTTGTGATTAAGGCAGAATTTTAAATGTTTTTCTTCTCATTTATTTAAATAACTCACCAAGTAACTAACTTATTTCTCATTATTTTTAATGTCCCATAGTGACATTGTTGTTCATGACTTAAAAACCCTATTTGAAACTGTCATTTATACTGCTTTTGAAAAGCTAACTCTCAACATAATGATTATTTTTCATACTAATTTTTGTTTTGTCTGTGTGATTAAAAGCAGGCTTCCCTGGTGGGTATTTGTTAATCTGTGTCTGACTGTCTCGTGGGGTAAAAGCTCTTGATCTTCTCACTAGCATTCATTGACAGGTTGACATGCTCTGCTTGCAAGGAATTCTCAAACATGCTAATGTTGCTTTCCCCAGTAGAGTTTGCAGTTTTTTTAAAGAGAGGAAAGGGCCTTTAGTAATTTAGTTCTAAGTTTATATGTGGTTATATTTCACAGTTTTTGTATTTAGATGTGCTTTCTTTTTACCCAACCTACCTAATTAGCATTGTGAGGCTTATATTATAAAAGAAAAGGCAACAGGCAGAATATGCATATACAAACACACATATATGCAAGCTAGTTATATATACTAAGCCAACTGAAGACATTTATAAATAAAATCCCTGCTAGACAGATGTACTTAATATGCAAGTAGGATTCTGATAGAATTTTTATATAAAGAATGAAAGACTGAATCTCAGTAAAAATGTTGTTTATTCTGCCTTACTTTTCAGAGTACAGAGTAGAAATAAATTGGGTCTATTTGTGACATAATGTAATAACCACGGGAACAGTAATTTTAGGAATGTAAAGGGCCACTGAATCATTAGTTTAAGAATTGCTGCTCAAGAGTAAAGTTGCTGAGTTCATATTCCACAGATGTCTTCTGTAAGTGTTACCAAGACAAAGGATAAGTATATATGCCCTTTCTCAGTAGCTGCTATAAGAGTTATTGTTGCAGTTCAGCATTGTGCAGTGCATGAGTAGGTTTATATTTGGCTAATAAAAGTCTGCAAAAAGCTTTATGCAGATGCCTGGAAGAACATGAGGAGTAAAAGTTACAAATGTTGCTTTTCCCAGCACCTGGTGAAATTTTATAACCTAAAAAGCCAGTGTCATTTACTTTTTATCCTACAGGGCTACCACACATAGTGATCTTGTTCTAAGGGCAACAAAGCTGGGAATCCCTTATCGAATTATCCACAATGCTTCCATAATGAATGCTGTTGGCTGCTGCGGTTTACAGGTAAAGCTGCAAAGAAAGTTTTACACTGAAATGAAGTTAAAATTATTTTATTTTCTACAACTTGCTAATAGAGTTTATTGAATATTACGAATTGCAAAACATATTGCTGTTTGAGTCTATACCATTTACCATGTGCAAAATATCTTAATACTAATCTTTAAATACTGTTTTCTCTTATAACTTGAGTTCTTCCCTTTCTCATTGGACTAGGAGAATGTTGAGAATGATTTTAATCTTTTATCCAAATGTACATTCATAAAAAGGAGAATATAAGCTGATGAACTTGGTTAAATATTTTTAGAAAATTTTTATTGTCTTCTCAGCAACTTATCATTGTCAAATTTCATGGTTTTCTGCACAGTATTGTTTTCTGCACCATCTAAAATATGGGGACACTGCAGGTCTTAAAGAGCAAAAATGTTAGGTTTATCATTATTGATACATAAAGTCGGTTATTTTTAACTCCAGAAGTCTTTATTCTTAATAATTGAAACAGTACAATACAATTATTTCCGAGATCATCCTCTACGTTGTTGACATTTGTTTTCCAAGTTTGCTGTTTATATCCCACTGTTCACACATGCATAACTTATGACAGCTGTGATTGCTACATGACAAAGTGATTTTAAAACTTCCTTCTGATTGGTAAGACACATTTTTACTTTAGATACTCAAGAATACAGGTTTGTGGAAAAGGCTCTGAAAAGACAGGTTAATGATGTGAAAGCTTGAACATCTGTGCATAATTTTTCATACTACACATTTCTGTGAACTTTGTGAGGGCCACTTATGATAACATGCATCTCAAGATTTGCAGCATGCCTTCCCGAAGAGAATAACTTAAAAACCGATGTTTACAAAGCACATCAATCATTGTTAGGTGCTGGTGCCGTTCACAACTTTAGAAGAGTCTACTTTCCGTACTACCTAGGAAGAATAGTAAATTAGGTGACTAGAGATGACAGTTAATCTCAATATAGTGCCTTTGGTTGTGAAGAATCCAAGAAAAAGTGTTCATGTTTTGTTTTTTCAGTGTTTATCTCTTGCTACTCATTACTATGTTTCAATGGACACCAGGCAGACATTATGACTCAATGGCCTAAGCCGCCCCTAATCCACTATTTTGGAACCCACAGATGCCCAAGAGCCAGTTGCATGTACTTTTTAAAATAAGTGCACAAATATCCTTTATCATACAAGAACTTTGGCACAGTCTCCTTCCTTATAAGAGCTGGATTAATCTTTTCACTTTGTAGAGTAGCATTTATTAAAGAAACCATGGTGAACAAGTGGTTCTTGCCTATAGCATTCAGTCACCAGCAGGGTTTGTCCCAAGGTCTGCGGAGCCTCTGAGACCCAGGGATTCTAACAGACTCACTCTGGGATGAATTCATGGCTTGCAGATGGTGCCAGAGAATCCACACTTTGAGAGCCACTGATCCAGATGAGTGAGCCGTCTTGGAAAGTGAAAGAATTGTGTTGTCTTTTTTCTAGCCCAGTAGGTTCAGAAGAGTAGTTTATAAGTCTTAGGAATACACTTGCTGAAAGTAGACATGTTACCTTATCATGCTGGTGCTCTTAATTTTGTTGAAGATCAGGGAGGTACCAGTTTTTTTTTTTTAATTAAAAAAAAATTTTTTTTTGGTAAAGATTTATTTTCTGAAAGGCAGAGTTACAGAGAGAAATCTTTACATCTGTTGATTCACTCTCCAAAAGGCCTCAAAACTAGCAGCCTTCATCTAGAACTTCCAGGTGGATGGAGGGACTCAACACCTGGGGCATCTTCCATTGCTTTCTTAGGCACATTAGCAGAAGTTGGATCAGAAGTGGAGCAGCTTGGATACAAGCTTGTGCCATGTGGAATGCTGACATTGCAGATAATGGCTTAGTGTGCTGTTCTGCAGTGCTGGCCCCAACTTTGAAAAGGCATGTGCAAGAGTAGTCCGATGAATTCACAGAGAGCCACTGAGTTGTTGAACAGAAGTACCGTTTTGAATGTTGTGATAGATCTGAACAGTAGATTCTTTCTGCCATCTTTGCCTCAGATTAAAAGGTGGCACCATGAAATATAGTCCTAACCTACAAAAAATCATGATCATGGTGATAAATTTTTAAACTACCAGTTTATTAACCTCCTGTGAAATGCTTAAATGCTTATTTGTGGTTTTCTGAAGAAACTACATGGTAGAGTTCAGAACTAACTTTGAAATTTGTTGACCAGCAAAAGGTTCTTATTTGTTAGTGGTAATTATGGTAAGTCATTGCATTACTAACCCTGCCATATACACATATACAGCTAAACAATATCCGTTGTATTAGAGACATACTATGAAATAAAATTCCTTAGCAAAAACTCCATTATAATCATGAAAATTTTACTTGTAAAATGGGAAGTATGTTAGAGACTTCCGAATTAGCCATCTTTAAGGGGATTAGTGATGTATACATTTAACAAAAGCTGTTTGCCTGCTTATTGTTTGTAACTTAAGAGCCTTTGGACACAGTGATAATCTTGACCATTAAGGTCCCTGCTTTCAAGGAGTTTATTTTTAGTGAAAAGGATAGTTAATAAGTATAAAAAATTCAGATCAGCTATTACAATTCAGAGTGATTTTGTTGCTGTCTTGGTCAGAGGAAGGATCCTGTCTGAGAAAGGACACTTCAGAATCAAGGAGATACTAGCATTTTCCTGTCAGAGGGAGCAATTAGTACAAAGGCCTTAGACTGGGCATGGTGTATGGCTTGTTAAAGGAACCAATTCAGGGCATGTTGGACTATAGTAGTAAAGGAAAAATGACTTGAAGCTGGACAAGTGTGTAGGGGCTGGATCACTTAGCTCTCTACCCAACTTTAGGAATTTGAATTTTTATCTCAATGACATAGATTTTCACTGAGTGGCTATAAAGAAGTCAAAATACTTTGTCAGGTAAATGATTTTTAAGACATATCTTTGACTGATGTGTGGAGATTCTAATTCCTTCCAAGCAGAAATGGAATAGCAGATGTTAATTAAAAGGTGGCTAATAGGGACTGGTGTGATGGCTCAATGACTAAATCCTCACATTGCAATCTCTGGGATACTATATGGGGACTGGTTTGTGTCCCGGCTGTTCCACTTCTCATCTAGCTTCCTGCTTATGATCTGGGAAGCAGTAGAGGGCAGCCCATAGCCTAGGGACCCTGTACTCAACTGGGAGACCTGGAAGAGGCTCCTGGCTTCAGATCAGCTCAACTCCAACTCGGTGTTGTGTTCTTTTGGGGAGTAAACCAGCAGATGGAAGATTTTTCCATCTTCCTTCTCTTCGTAAATCTGATCTGCCTTTCCAATAAAAATAAATAGGTTTTTTTTTTATTTTTAAAGAAAAGGGTGGCTAATAAAAAAAATTTTAAAGGAGAGCTATTAATGATTTAGACTGTCTGAAGGGGCTAGGATGTACTACATCAAACAAGGAGACCTGAGGCACTTTTTACCAAGAGAATTGGAATTTACAGATTTAGTGAGGCGTCCCTCCTGTAGTGCTAGTCCTAGGAAACAACATGAGTGTCTTCTATCTCCTCTACCGCAGTTACTGTGATTCTGAAAGACTTATCGGTGGAGCTGGATCTTTTTATTATCATTGTTCTTTGGCTGCCAGTGTTTTGATGACTTGTGTTATCGTTACCAGAGCAGTTGGCTTCTGTCACTGACAGCCCTGTTCCAGTCTTCTTGCCGTTCGGGATCATGATTAATCCTGACCTTGATGATGTGGGAGAGTGTGATTCAGCTTGTCTTTCTCGTGGACTTTTGATGGTATGAGTGTTGCCCTGAAGTCCTGCTTATTCTCTTTCTTAATGTCAGCATAAAACAGTGTCACACAAGATGTTTGGGGGCATAGAAACCACAACAGTCTCCAGATGATATTCTGTGCAGAGCAGCAAACTAGTCACTCTGCATTCTGTGGCTTTGTACTGTATGTTTGGACAGTTCTGCTGGCTTGCATTCCTTTCACCTCACAAATTTAACACTGATTTGAGGAAACACATATGTGAAGATACATGTGGGGCTTAATTCTTAGAGAGTTAAATCCTCTAGTTTTTCCATTTACACAATAGGTTTCCCAATTTAACAGATTCTTAACATAAAAAAAGGGAATTTTATTTGTGATGTGAAATATCAAGACCATGTGGCCTAATTATAATATGGAATTTTACCAAGTTTGCGAAAATGAAGAAATATTGGGCAACAAGCCTAGTTGACAGATTAATAAAGGTATTCAGACAGACTAAGGTGAAGGGAAAGAAAATGAGATGGCCTATACATAATAAGTAGTTTTAAATTAAGGTTTTTTGTTTTTGATGTCAATAGATGAAATATAATCAATATCAAATTAGTAAACTGCCTTTTCTAAAAAATTCAGTAAAATGTAAAGACTGAGATATAAAGTACTGTTTTTAGAAAATGAATGATTATTCTCTCTCTCTGGCTTTCCAATAAATAAAAATAAATTAATTGAAATTTAAAATAGGAAAATGAAGGTGTGGCAGGCATTTGGAATAGCAGTTACTATCATTTAGGGTAACCACATGCTCTATTAGTTCAAGTTCTAACTACACTTGCAATTTCAGCATCCTGGTCATGGTAATGGTATCCTGAAAGTCAGCAGGAGATGGCTTAGCTACTTGGATCCCTGCCACCTCCATGTGGATCTGGATTGAGCTATGGGTTCCTAGTTTCAGCATGGCCTAGCTCCAACCATTGCACACATTGGGAGTGACTTAGCACAAGGAAAAGCTTTATCTTTGTCAAATAAATAAAAGAAAAATTTTAAATAAGTGCTGATTTTGTGGTGTTAAAATTTTTATTAGTGATATTTCTTGGGGAAAAAAAAAGAAGAATCACAGCTCTAAGTTGCTTAGATTTTTAAGACAGCTCATCAGTAAATGGGCTTCTGCAACCTGAGGTCTTATCACTGTGAGTTTGCAGTTCCTCATTATATTTTACTGGAAGGATGACGAAGGACAAAAGACAAGTCCTTCTGAGGATATTACTTTAAGATAGTAACATATTGATGGTGAAACTGTGTAATGTTCCAGGGCTCATTGAAGAAGTTTGCAAGTTTGCATTATACCACAAGAGTAATTAGTTTGTAAACCTGGAAAGATTGCTTGTATGAGGGGTTTTTCCTAATCCCCTAAATTAGAGGATTCAAAAAGTGCTTTTACACAGACTGCTCAGAGACTTGTATTCCAATTGTCTTTAAAAGATCCTGTTTTTGAAATGAAGAACTAAGTTATTTGTATCTCTGTGTTTAAAGTATTTATACATGTATGTATAATTTTAAAAATTTAATAGCTTTTCTTCTAAAGTTTTATTTTGTGGAATAAAACTAATATAAATTTTTATCCATTTATTTATTTGAATAGCAGTGAAACAGAGACAGCTTCTCCCATTTGCTGGTTCACTCTGCAAATGTCCACAACAGCTAGGGTTAGGTCAGCCAAAGCAGAAGCCAGGGGTTCAGTCCAGGCCTCCACGACGTGGGTGGCAGGGACTCAGTGTGAGCCTGTAACTGTATGGGATGTGGGCACCTGAAATGGAGACTTAACTGCAATCCCAAATGGTTGCCAAATCATTCAAAATTTGATCAAAAAGAAACATTCTTTTTTAGAATGGGAATAGTGGTCTTGTCAGAATTAAGTAATAAATGTGGTTTGGCAAATGTTTAATAGCATTTTTGAGCTCACTACAACAAGGAAAGCAGTTGAATTATAGCAAGTCCTAGTATTTAGGACATCTTCATGTAATTGTCACGAACTTGATTTTTATTGCATCCTCAAATAGCTGACATTTACTGTCCTCACCATGTGCAGGGCTTTACCATGGACTCTACACACTTCATTGTCATTCAGCTCTTAAATATTATTAGATTACTGTACTTATTTGCATGAGGGCTCTTCCTTGGGTCAGAAAGATTATTTGACTTGCCCTTAATCACCCAGCTAGTAAGAACTGATGCCATGATTCTGGAACCCTTGCCTTCCCTGTGGGGCATAAGTGAGATGGGTCTCCTGAGGGCCGCAGCTCTGTCTTGTTAGTTATCATAAACCAGCATAATACCTGGCAAGCAGGGCATGTAAATAGCTGTCAGGTAAACCTGCCTCTCAAGAACAGTAAAATAATAGACCCTCTCGGCAGGGCCAGGGCCATGCCTGGGAGATTGGCACAGGATGGTACTTTCCCAAAATACCAAACTACCACCTATTTATGTTAACCCTGAATGTAAATAGCATACTCATCAATCAACTGGCATAGATTAGTAGACTGGATTAAAAACACAAAACCAATCCATTTATTTTTTTTCATTAATGTACTTTTGGAATAAAGCTCATTGTTGGCAAGTTGGAGGTTGTAACGAGGTACAATGAGAAACTTTCCATTTCGAACTAGATTTTAGACACTTTTAGGCATTTTTGGCTGCTGTTTTTGGAATTCAGTGTGTTTAAGCCAAGGATTTTTGAGTGTTTATAGGGAACTAGGGACAGGAACCCATCTTTCCTTACTATCTCCATTTTTTATCTTGTAATAGCCTCGAACCTAAGAAGCCTTGATTTACTAGAAACAGAGAATGACCCATCTCTGCTCAAGACCAGTTTCTTATTTTTCAAATAAAGCAAATAAGCTTTAGAAAAGTTGCCTAAAGACACAGTTATTTCAAGTGCACAGTGAATTTGTGGTAGAAGTCTAGATGTGACTCTTTGTTTCTAGTGTTTTTAATTCTTTGATAAATTCTTTCAAGCATTGTTTAGATTTAAATATTAAATCTATATAAAATTAGTGTTATATTTATTATACATTAAGCCTTTTAAAAGACACATCCTTTACAAAGTGCTAGAAAAAAATTAACATTAGCGTGTTAAATCACCATTTGAATAATTTTTTGGCTATCTTTTGACCCCAACAGTCCTGGGAAGGAGAGTGTTTTTATTTTATCATTATTCCTACTGTACAAGTGTATGAGGGTACTTTAAAAAGTTCATAGGAAATGGACTTAAAAGGGCCCAGCTCAGTGGCCTAGCAGCTGAAGTCCTCACCTTGCGCATGCCAGTATCCCATATGGGTGCTGGTTCGTATCCTGGCAACACTCTTCCCATCCAGCTCCTGGCTTGTGGTCTTGGAAAGCAGTCGAGGATGATCCAAAGCCTTGGGACCCTACACCCATGTGGGAGACCCGGAAGAGGCTCCAGGCTCCTGGCTTTGGATCAGCGTAGTTCCCGCCATTGTGGCTGCTTGGGGAGTGAATCATTGGACAGAAGATCTTCCTCTCTGTTTCTCCTCCTCTCTGCATATCTGACTTTACAAAAAAACAAAATAAAAAAGAAATAAAATGAGCTTAAAAGATAAGTTTATTTTTTTTGCAAAAAAAAATATGAAATCTTATTTTTTTGTAGATTTATTTATTTTATTGGAAAGGCAGATTTACAGAGAGACAAGACAGAAAGATCCTCCGTCTGTTGGTTCACTCCCTACGTGACCTCATGGAATTGAGCCAATCTGAAGCGTGGAGGTTCTTCTGGGTCTCTCACGTGGGTGCTGGGTCCCAAGGCTTCAGGCCATCCTCTGCTGCTTTCCCAGGCCACGGGGTGGTAAGTGGAGCAACTGGAATGCAAACTAGCACCCATATGGGATCCTGGCCTGGGCAAGATGAGGATTTAGCTACTGAGTCATCCCGCCAGGTCTGCATAATTAGTTTATAACACACATTTTCATGAGCTTTTAAGAATAATTAATTTATTTGAGAGAGAGCTCTCTTCTACAGTTTGTCTCCCAATATTCCCACCCTCATCCCTGACTGGCTAGACTCAAGCCAAGGCCAGGATTTCAACCAGGTCTCCCTTGTTTGTGTAAGGAACCCAGGTACTTGACTTACCACGTGCTGCCTTCGGGATGTGCATTAGCAGCAAGCTGACGTCAGGAGCTGCTGGAGAGCAATGCATGTGCTCTGATGTGGGGCATGCTTCATTGCTATCCCAAGTACCTGTCCTCACCCCGCCCCATGAACTTGTATGCAGGGATCTCATTGTTTGTTTCTGTGTGTGTTTTTCTATGCCATATCAGCATGTTTTAATTGCATTTTCCTGTAAAGTTTAAAAATGTTCCTTATAGACTTAGATTAATATCACAGAACTAACAAGTTTCAGAATCAGTATTGAAAATTAAATTTTTTTTCAGCATGAGACTTGGAATCAAGGGCCAATGTTGTGGTACAGTGAGTAAAGCTGAAGCCTGCAAAGCTGACATCACAAGATGGCCCAAGTGTTTGGGACCCTGCTACCCACATGGGAGACCCAAATAAATTCTTGGCTCCTGGCTTGAGCCTGTCATAGCCCTGGTCGTTGTGGCCATCTAGAGAGTGAACCAGTGAATGGAAGATCTCTCTCCATCTCCACCTCACCTCTGTAACTATGCGTTTCAAACAAATTAAATCTTCAAAACAAGAAGTTTTGCAACCAGACTCAATTGAGCTTGTGAAGCTAACCTAGATTAAAGAAGCAGGCTTCTCAGTGGTAAACAACAAATTGGGTAAGCCATTGCAGAGAGAGTAAAAGATTTAGGGAAAGGCTTTCATTGTTAAACTCTGTAGTTGGTGGGGTGAGTGTACAATTGTGAATTTTACTGAAATGAAGTGCTATAAAGAAGGAACGTTCTCTCAGATGTATCTTCATGTTTTTTTTTTTAATCCAGCTGGTGACCTTGGGTAGTCAGTTGATCTTGGCGGTCCTGTCTGTCAGCGACTAATCATTAACTTTGTGAAAACTCCCCTGACTACTTAGATGTCCGAGATCTTTTGTTAGTTTTTCTCTCTGGGTTCTGTGTATTTCACTATTTTTAGCTGAAACATAGCTAAATTATGAATTGATTATATATGTTCCTGTCCTGAATGTGTATGTACTACAAGTTTATTGTGGAAAGGCATATCGGAAGGATACCAGCTATGAGAATCAACTTTTGTTCCTTTCTTTCTGATAGATTGTATTCCTGAGCCACCTCAAGTCTGGTGCACATTTTTAATTTTGGTCATAAAGGAATTAAGTTCTCATCTATGGACTAGTAGTTGCTGATGTGTTCCATTGCTGATTAATGTTTTTTATTTATTTTTTTTTAGTTGTATAATTTTGGGGAGACAGTATCTATTGTTTTTTGGACAGATACTTGGAGACCTGAAAGCTTCTATGACAAAGTGAAGAAGAACAGAGAGAATGGCATGCACACATTATGCTTACTAGGTAAGGATTTTGGAGATGCCTTAAAGTCACAATGCAGAGTTGCCATAGTGTTCTTACTTGGCTTTGGTGTTGAGCTGAACACTGTGAATAAGTACAAGTAGTGTGGAAGCCACACTGCATTGCGTTCTCTCAGGGGGATAGGCATCTTCCCCAGCAGCACATGGCTACTCATTTATATACACCTCACGTACTGCCTTTGTGCAACCTGGCACATTCTCACCAACAGGCCATTCTTGCCATTTGTCCATCAAGACCTTCTTTTTAATATATTGCGATCCAGAAGACTTGTATTAAGCATTTGTCCTCACTGAGCACAATGCCAGATTTTTCTAGGGATGTTCTTTACATAAAGAGGTATCAGTGTTGTTACAAAATGTTGTATCTGAAAACAAGGTTGATACGATCTTACTGAGTCGGGCTTTATAGATGAAGTTGTGGAGAGTGTTCAGTCATTTCTCCAGAGACACACAGTTCTTGGTGGCATAAACGGTGGCATCCAGATAGTCTTCTGTTTATATCTCTTTCTGCTATATCATCCTACCAAATTCATTTTCCTGTCTATTGTGGAAAGGGCTGAGGTTGTTCTTTTTGTATCGAGATAATGATACTGAGTTTCAGACCAGTATGGATTTTGCTTTCAAGCAGGGACTCTGAAACTGCCCTGGTGCTTGTTCATTAGTCAGTGGCTCTTCTATTAGCCTTGTTGTAGAAATTCCGACATCAAAGTTTTAATCTCTGATGAACAGCATATAGCTAACTAACATATTTGATAACTTTCAAATATTACTTAGAGTGGGATCAGAAGGCATAATTGTAGCGCTCATACTAATTATATGGAGATTATTATAAATATTCCATTACCTTTGGCTTTATTTTTATCACGTAGGAATATTTCCTCCTCCCTCATAGAACTGGTTAGCACCAAACTTCTCAAATTGTTTTTGGTGAAAAAGAAGTGTGTGCTTTTTTTAAAAAAAGTTTTTTCAAGAATTTCCGATCTGTTGTGTATTATATTACTGTAAATGTTCATAAATAATTACTCTCATTCCTCTAATTCCTTTGTCATTTACTGGTAACAGAAACTCACATCCTGGCATCGTTGTGGATTTATGCTTCAGATTGTACTAAGACAGCAATACAGTGTGTGAAGTCCCCTAACAGGTTGTATGTGATAGGGTCAGGGCGGAGGCTGCACCCGTGATTTTGGCATCTCTAACAACACAGACACAACATTAAGAAAGGTTTCTATGTATTAAATCTTTTAAGTTATTTGCATAAAATAATATACTTTACTATTCAATAATGCATAATTTTTTATTGCTCAGTTGGTATACTTAATAAAATTAGTTTATAACTCACTTTTTACTAATTAATGGTTGGCATTTACAAGGATAAGGCACATATGGCTTACCAAATTATTAGTTTTGGCTCTGCCAGAGTTACCTCAAATTGGACATAAACTTCATAAATTTATAGCAGGCTAATTTTTAAGTTAATAATTTTATTTTGTATGGCCTGTAAATGATGTTATATAAATCCAAATGTCCTTTGTCAGAAAAGTGTTCCCCACTTTAGAAATTAATATTCAGTGCCCATGAATCCAATATGACCTTCTGCTTTTGTTGCAAATGTGGCTTTATTGGAATACAGCCAAGCATATTCATTTATTTATTTTAATTTTTGGCTACTCTGAGGCTATAATGGCAGCCATGAGTGCTTGTGACAAAGAATTTAACCTAATATAATTATTATTTTGTCTTTTAAAGAATTTGCCAAGTCCTAATCCGGGGTAAAATTTTATCTAATCTCATATATTACACTCTGTTCTTTATCCAAGCAATTGTTTCTTATTACATTATTTTCTTTCATAGTCTTATAGCTCATCTAAATTATCTTATCCACTTGATTGATTTCTTCCCTATTTCATTAAAACTGGAACTTTTTTAATGCTTTCTTCCTAATGTGCAGAAATCTGGCATAGCATAACTTCAACAAATGTTTATGTATAGGGCCCAGCGTGATAGCATAGTGGTTAAAGTCCTCTCCTCGCATGTCCAGGATCCCATATGGTCGCCGATTCTAATCCCGGCAACCCTGCTTCAGATCCAGCTCCCTGCTTGCGGCCTGGGAAAGCAGTCGAGGACGGCCCAAAGCCTTGGGACTCTGCACCCATGTGGGAGACCCAGAAGAGCTCCTGGCTCCTGGCTTCGGATTGGCTCAGCTCCAGCCGTTGCACTCACTTGGGGAGTGAACTATTGGATGGAAGATATTCTTCTCTGTCTCTCCTTCTCTCTGTATATCTGTCTTTCCAATAAAAATAAATAAATAAATCTTTAAAAAGTATATATTTATGTATAATGGTTGGTTGGATTTTTGTTGTTTTAGTTATTTGGTCAAACTTGGTCTTGCTGTCCAAAACAGTCTTTACCTCTTACTGTTCAATCAATTTTAGACGGAATATAATCCATTTATTCTGTTAGCATTGATGTCTGATTAATTCTAGACCTACAACAGGCCATAAATGCTACTATACCTTTTTTTTTGGGGGGGGGGGGGGTTATGCCTGTATCCCACATTTCAATAGTTGGCAAAATACATCTTCTTGTTTTATTTTACTGCCAGTTGTTTAGTGTTTCAATGGTAATTATTAGCTTTATAGTTCTGTCCTTGAATTTTCCATCAGAAAGGAGACAGGTTTTACTCTTTCTAGTTCTTACTAACCAGTACACTGCTCAGCATTTCATTAATCAGTGTGGGCTTTGCAATCAGATACACCCAGCTATTAGACCAGGCTTAAGTCTCTTTAAGCCCACGGGTGCGTGCAAGGTCAATGCAGAATGGGAAGAGAAGGTGTTTCATAGGACACTTGTTCAAATGAAAATGAAAGTATAAAGGTGGGGCATTGTCAGAGCTCAGTTCCTAGAGTGCAGGTGTGCTTTGCAAGAGTGAAGGTTAACAATAGAAGAGGGAGAGAAAAGTCCAAAAGGCAGGCTACCTGGTAAGCTTTCAGTGTATCTGTTAACAAAGGAAGGAAGGAAAGCAATCTCCATGTATTTTTGGAAAGATTTAGAAAGGCACATAAAATTCATTTATAAGTATTTATTAGGTGATTGTTCTGTGTTCACTGTGGAGACAGGTTCTTTTGGAATATTTCATATTGGATGTGGATCTTTGCAGAGTTTTAGAATCTAGTTTGGAGCCAATATGTTAATGTACATAAAAGTTTAAAGAACACTTAAGTTCTATTGTTTAGAGAGACAGGAAGGACAAACCAGAAATTTGGCTCTTGAGTTTTCTAAGAGCTATCTCTTTTCTTAGCTTTCCTGAGAAAAGACAAACAAGATTAAACAATGTATCTTCCCTGCTCCATTAACAAAAGCAGGAACAGGGTGTGAAATGTAGGATGTCTTGATTCCAAATTATGGATCTCATCATTTAATCCTATTGCATTATCTTTATTTAAGTTAGATTTTAAATTAGGAGAGTCTAATGTGTTTAGATTGTTTTGAATGAATAGTTCTTGCATGTAATCCTTGCAGGGATTACTGAACAAAAACTATAGTGGGGAAACACAGAAAAATGTAAAATTTTTACCTACAGAGATAGCACCAGTTATCTGACATAATCAGAGTTTAGTTAAAGATGGCATTAGTTTTGTAAATATTTCTAAGAAAAATGAGCATTTAGAAAAAGTGAATAATTTAATAAGTGTGTTGAATTTTTTAAAATGTCATAAAGATGTTTTAAAGGAGTTATAAATACTGACCTATACCATAAATTGTATTAGAGGAGGCTAGATTTTCATTAACAGATATTTATTTCTTCACATAGACAACAGACAAGTAGAAATACTAATTATTGCTATTTTAAGACTGAGAAGGGCTTTTGGTGCTCATCCCAGAAACATTTAAAATACGCAAGCGAAATTAATCTCTGCTCTAATTTCTAAACAAATTCTTTAGTGTCTTTTGAAAGAAAAAAAAAACACTTAGTAAAGCTGCAAAAATTTATCAAAAACTCTGCAGTTCTTAGTCACACTGTATTTATTTTTGCAAAAACAAACTTCGGCCAAACCATTTGTGTTTGGCCTGTAAAACAGGAAACAGCTGTTGCTCTTGGTGTTGCGTGCTCAGTTCCTGTGGGGATGTAGAGATTCTGCTTTTCACCTTTTACTGAGGAATTTAGCTGGGCATCAGGGATTTAAAAGTACAAGGAATTGGGTATTTGTGATAGTTGGTTTGACAGGCTTGATGGAAGAAGAGATTATGTCCGGTCAAGTCCCTGTGCACCCAAATGCCCAGCACAGTGTCTGACACCTTGATGGTGCTCTGAAGCCCTGCTCAAGCTGTGAAGACTTGGGGCTAAAGTATATGTTCTGATTTATTCGAAAGCAAGTTTGTTTTCAGAAGCCAGTTGCTTTTGAAATTGATGCGTTCATTTAGTGGCTGAAAAAATGATAAGAACAGGTATGTAACAAGACTTTTCAGTTGGGTCTCTGCGGTTACTAGTTAATAGAAATGAAAACAAAGGTTATGATGACCTGTTATTTAGTGTACGTGCCAATAATTGATTCTTTGCCTACTTTTTAACAGGAAATTAGATCGGTACAGGATGGTGTCAGGGGCAAGTTCATGTTTTTTTTTTTTTTTAACCAGTAAACTTTATGCAACCACAGGTTTCTACTCTTCTTTATATTTCCTCAAGAAAGATTTAAGTGTGAAGGGGAACACTGGGAGACTTGGGAAGAAAGTTGCTCCCAGTTTTAGATAATCCTTAATCAATGTTTATATGGGTTTTGGGCAAGGTTCTTCGTTAAGTTAAAAAAGCGATTTTTCACTTCCTTGCAGACATCAAAGTAAAGGAGCAGTCTTTGGAAAATCTGATCAAGTAAGTTGTTATTCTGAGAATGCTTCTGTCTACTTTAGTTCTTTGATTCAATGCATTCTACTTAAATGACCTGAGTTCCAGAGATTGTTGAAAATCGGCTTTTACTGGGAGTTAAACATTAAATGCTTTTATTATAATTAGCGTGATAGAATGGAAATAGCAATAGATTGCATAGATAGATTCAATACTGAGAATAGTAGTGGGCACCTGGTAGGCAGTCAGTAGATGTGAAATAAATTAATGCATTTGGAATTCAGAAGATGGATGTGAGTCCTCCATCTGCCCCTACTTGTGTGTTTGTGGCAAGTCACTTCTGGCTCTGAGCCTTATTTTCTTTATATTAATGGTAGTTGTAACCCTTTTTGTTTATAGTGGCAATAGTCAATATAATAGTTGCTCCCTGCATGTGGCTAACTTTCACTGTTAAATGTGGTTACTGTGACTAGGAAACTGAAGTTTTCATTTAATTTTAATTCGTTTAATGCTGTTTCTTAATTATTGGAAAAATATTAAGTTGCTTTGAATAATTTCAGCAGATGAGTCTATTTTTCTGCCATAGCTTTTAAGAAATCTTACTAACATCTAAGTTAAGATGTGCTGGGGCTGGTGTTGTGGTATAGTGAATGGTGTGCCACCTGTGATGCCAGCATCCCTCCATCTGGATGCTGGCTCATGTCCTGGCTGCTCCAGTTCTGATCCAGTTCACTGCTAATCATCTGACAAAGCTGTGGAAGAGACATCCCAAGGACTTGTACTCCACCCCTGTGGGAGACACAGATGCACCTCCTGGCTCCTGTTGCAGCCATTTGAAGAATGATCTAGCAGATGGAAGATCTCTGTCTTCTCTCCAACTCTGCTTTTTAAATAAGTGAATACGCCTTTGAATAAAGAAATAATTAAGATATGCTATAGGTACTTATCAGGCTTCAATGAGTTAATATAGAAGAACTTTTTAGTAATTTTTATATGAATAAGCATTAGAATATATCTTGCACATTAATGCATTAAGATTCAATTTAGCTTGTTTTGCTTTTTAAGTATTGCTACCAAGAAATTTATAATTCTTAAGTTTTATAAATTTAGGCTATCATGTTTGTAGGCTGCATTATATTCTTTAGACAGCACAGACTTAGAATTGGTTTGAGAGTCTATAAAATAATCTAATAAACTTTTAATGCTATAGAGGTTGTTTTATTATGCAAAACTTTTGTGGCATACAGAAGTAGCCATCTAGAGAGGTTTCAGATTTTTAGCGTTTGAATTTACTTTTCTTAAATGTGGAAGTGAAACAAGTGATACGTGGCCTAAACATGGTAATAAAATGAACACTAGAGAACCTGATCACCCAAGAATATAGATGACATTGCCACTTATTTTGAATTGTTTTTGCCTAAGGCATCACTTTGAATAAAGATAACTTTGACTTAGATATCTGTCTTTAAGTTGTTGGAATTCTATATTCAGTGTCATTTCGTTAAGATCAGAGGATAATTGAAGTAGCATGATGAAAAGCGTAGGAAATTTACATGTACCCATCACTGTAGCCATGCTTTTGTGTGTATTTAAAGTAGGTATCATGAGGAAACTTCAAACAGAATGTAGGCAGCGGTGCTTGAGCATACCTGGGGGAGTAATTGCTTTAATAATGTATTATGTAATTTCATGACTAGGAACGTGGAATCTACTTTTATCCTTACAGGGGAAGAAAGATCTATGAACCTCCTCGGTACATGAGTGTAAACCAGGCAGCCCAGCAGCTTTTGGAAATTGTGCAAAATCAAAGAATACGAGGACAAGAGCCAGGTACTCAAGACCCCGTGAGAGTACGCCTGTTGTTCCTCCACTGCCGCATGTAGAAATTTATGTGACGTAATGCCTGACTTGTGACATAAACCACCTCTGGAGCAGGAGTTAGTATGTTTGCATTGGTTTCCTCCAACTTTGACTTAAATCTCACAGGCCTTAGACTTAAACCATTCCAAAAAGTGAAGCTTTTTGAGAAATTAGATATAAATCAGATTTGATATAAATGTTAACATATACATATTTTGAGAAAATGCAAACTTCCCTTTTGAATTGTAATCAGTGATGAAATGTGTCCTAAAAATTTATGTTTACTCTCCGTTTGTTCTTTCTCAACACTGAGAAATAGTTTTCTTTAGGAAAGAAAGAAAACTTATCCTTACATTTCTCAAATGTAGGCAAAGTATATGATATATAATAAAGCGTTTGTTGGCAATAGGTCTTCACTTGGAGATTCATATATAATTTGCTTCTTTTTTTTTACTTTTTTTTTTAACAAATATTTATTCATTTTTATTAGAAAAGCAGATTTAGAGAGGAGAGATAGAAAGATCTTCTGTCCACTGGTTCAGCCCGCAATTGGCCTCAATGACCAGAGTTGAACTGATCTGAAGCCAGGAGCCAGGGGCATTTTCCACGTCTCTCACATGGCTGCAGGGTTCCAAGGCTTTAGGCTGTCCTCTGCTGCTTTCCCAGGCCACAAGCAGGGAGCTGTATAGGAAATGGAGCAGCCGGGACACAAACCTGTGCCCATATGGGATTCTGGCACATGTAAGGTGAGGATTTAGCCATTGAACCATCATGCTGGGCCATATTGTATTAGCAGGTGCTGTGTATCCTCTGTAGGCCTTGCTACATTCATGAAACAAATTGGCTATAAGGCTTTCCCTAACTTTGTGCAGGTATTTTACCTGCCTGTTTGTCTTTATCTGAATCATTTGCCCAGTTGGTCATTGTTTAAATGGGATGACTTTCCCAACTAGACAATAGAAACATTAAAGGATCAGCTTTTCATTTATAGCACCAGGCTAAATAGATCTAAAGTGTTATTCTGAGTGTAACTAAGTTTGGTTATTGTTTAGTATAGCTAAGCCGGGTTACTTTGACCTTAACATACAAAGAAGTGTCATACTGCTCATTATTTGTTAGGTGCTCTGTAGTTTAGTAAACACTGTCATATCCGTGAGCCTTTCTAACCACTGTTTAACAGAGAGGATGCTGGGCTGTAGAAAGAGAGAAATTGAACTTTGTCTCATAGCTGACTAGGTGGGCAAGCAGACAATTCTGCGCATTTTATCTTTTTATCCCATAGTTTTTCCAGGGCATCTTTGTGAATATGAATGTATCTCAGGTAAATTTATTAAAAACACAAATAAAACGTTGTCCCCTCAATCTGCTTAACAAGAAATGCTGTGCAGTTGTAAAGAGCGTGCCTGCAGCTACTTGTTTACAACTTGAAATCAGGCAAGAGCCTGGAATTCTGAAAGAGTACGGCTGGAAGTGCTTCATTATATTTCTGGCAGTGCAAATGATTTAGAAAAGTCTTGGATGAGTCAGTGGATCATCTAAAGAGCTAAGGAGATTGAAGATTTTGTGACTTTTTACATGTGCTTCTGATGCTAAAACCAATTTGAGTATTGGACAAGATGATGCATTTACCAAATTTAATGGTATTTTCTCTCTCTCTCTCTCTCTCTCTCTCTCTTTTAATAGCAATCACTGAAGAGACACTTTGTGTGGGCTTAGCCAGGGTTGGAGCAGAGGACCAGAAAATTGCAGCAGGCACTTTACAACAAATGTGTACTGTGGACTTGGGAGAACCGCTACATTCCTTGATAATCACAGGAGGCAACCTGCATCCGCTGGAGGAGGAGATGCTAAGTCTGTTTTCCATTCCAGAAAATAGCTGCGAATCCCAAAGCATCAGTGGAGTCTCAATATAGAAATATTCTATTGCTTGATATTAATTTTAGTCACCTGCGGATATATCCACATTTTTATAAAAATTACACGGGTTTTTTGGTTTATGCACTGTTTAAAACAAGTGACCACAAAGGAAGAAGTTGACTCAGCCATGCTTGGTTTCCTGCAATGCATTTTACCCTATGATGTCATCTGTTATTGTAGCTATTTTGGCAACTTTCCCAGCTCTGCACATGGAGCAGACCAAGCTACACTTGTGGATAGGCATCCAGACAGAATCATTTTAAAGCAGTTTTTATTTATGAAACCAAGTTACACAGGGTGAGGCCAGCGCAGTGTGACTGAGATGTAACTGGAATATGAGTTACATTTATCCCAGCTTTAAAATATATGAAATGTCAGGAATGGAAAAGCAAATAGAGTATTGCTAACATTTCACATACTGCTTTTGATTTTTTTATTTTCTTAAAAAAAATCAGCTGTCCTCACTATAGGATGAGTTACCCTGATCACAGCTGCCATTAGGACACAAAACAGAAGTGAGACTTAATGTCCGCCCAGCAATCTCACATATTTAAATAGTTCAGCTGCACACGTGCCACGAATCACACTCTGTACTGGCCATCTTAGACAGCTGACACCCTGGTTGTGTGGCCTGTGTTCTGCTCTAGTTTGGAGGTTATATAATTATTTAATTCTAAATGTTTAACCAGCCATAAACAGTTGCATTTGGGTTTTAAATAGCATCTTTCACATCCAAGCAGACAAATGAATAGCTTTCTGACTATAAAATGAAATTTTAAAGTATTTGTTTGAGGGCAACAATGAATTAGTCAAGATTCATCGTATCATTTGACTCAGTTAATATGCCATTATATATTATGCATTTAGTCTTGCTCTCACTGATTTTATTTATTTATTTTTTTATTCATTTGAAATTCAGCTTTACAAAGAGAATGGGAGAGACAGAGATCGTCCATTTGCTGGTTCACTCCTAAACATCCTGGAGTCCTGCATGGATGGGCAGGAGCCCAGCACCTGGACCACCTTCTGATACCTTCTCAAGTTCATTGGCAGGAATGCTTTTATCACTTCAAAATAGAAATGACTTTTAAAAAAATGCCAGTTAGTTCAATTAGAATTCCTATGATTTGATCAGTTTACCTGACTTCTTTGATTCATAAATTTGTTTGAAATTAAATAAAGATTTTTCTTTTTCCTGGGATTATAAATTAGATAGTGGCACTTTTTGGCTTATTTGAAATAAAAATGTTTTAATATGCATGGCAGCTCATTTTCAGCACTTTGAACACATGACAGGAAAGAACCACATACAGTTTTCTGTGATTTTCATTTAAGCTGTTAAACCAAATATTTATTTTTTTAAATTTTTGTTTCTATTTTTTTTTTAAGATTTATTTTTTTTTTAATTGGAAAGCCAGATATACAGAGAGGAGGAGAGACAGAGAGAAAGATCTTCCATCCGATGATTCACTCCCCAAGTGAGCACAAGGGCCGGTGCTGTGCCAATCCAAAGCCAGGAGCCAGGAACCTCCTCCAGGTCTCCCACTCGGGTCCATGAACCCAAGGCTTTGGGCTGTCCTCAACCGCTTTCCCAGGCCACAAGTAGGGAGCTGGATGGGAAGTGGAGCTGCCGGGATTAGAACTGTTGCGCATTTGGGATCCTGGAGCGTTCAAGGTGAGTACTTTAGGCGCTAGGCCATGGCGCCAGGCCCACATTAAACACTTTAAACAAAAGATTTCCAATCCTGGAAATGGCAAAATCACTTGTAATGTATCTGCCCTTCCAATTATGAAATTTGGACAGAATAAATAATTGTCTAAAGGTACTAGGTTGTTACTGAAATCAGGCTGAGCATTGCACTCATAGGCCTTTTCCTCACAGGATATCCTAAGACTTTCTGATGATGGGAGGCCAGAACTAAAACCAAAGTTGTCTTCTCTAGTGAGCTTCAGTTGTTAAAGGATAGTATTAAGGACAGGAAATCAAAGTAGGAGAGCTCAGATTTGAAGGTAGCAAACAAGGAGGGGGGCTTCTAGTCAACCATAAAATCTTTCCACAAATCCTTGGCTGACCCCTGACTTGGACGTGCATAGAGAAACTCCAGGTAACCTGGTGGGAATCCACACCCGGAAGGCAGAGGAAGCTGTACAGCGATTGCAGCTCTGTTACCGGAGAAGGGCGAGGCTTAGCTTTGGGTCTAGCTAGTTAAATGAACTTGATAAGCATATTGTTTTTTCTCCCCAAACCTACAATTGACTGAGTTTTTAAAAAGATTATGTCCAGGACTAAAGATGTAAACTTCTTACATAAGACTGAACCCTATGGAATTGAAGTGATTGGCCAATGCCTATTAGAGGGGCCTGGAGCTATAGTGTAGTAGTTAAGGTCCTCGCCTTGCCCACCCGGGATCCCATATGGGTGCCAGTTCTAATCCTGGCAGCCCCACTTCCCATCCAGCTCCCTGCCTTGTGGCCTGGGGAAGCAGTTGAGGACAGCCCAAAGCCTTGGGACCCTGTACCTGTGTGGGAGACCTGGAAGAAGCTCCTGGCTCCTGGCTTCGGATGGGCTGAGCTGCAGCCATTGCAGCCACTTGGGGAGTGAATCAATGGACGCAAGATCTTCCTCTCTGCCTCTCCTCCTCTCTGTATATCTGACTTTCCAATAAAAAAAAAATTAACAAATGCTTATTAGAAGCAAAATTTCTTATTCTTCAGATTAAGATAACAGAAAGAGTTTATCCCCCAGCTGTAGGCAACTGCCTAGGTTGCATTGTATGTAGGCAAGTGCTGCACTGCTGAGAGAAAAGCAGCGAATAGCTAGTGGGCATCCTGGGCCTAGTTAATGCCAAATTTGTGTCAGCTATACCAGTGTGACAACATAGTTGCCTGTTCTGTTCTTTTGTTTTGTTTTTGTTTTTGTTTTGTTGGGGAAGAGGGGCAGATGCTTCCATGCCGGCCGACAGGGTTGGGAGACCTGTGCCACAGTGTGCATGGGCCCTGGATAGGCACGCAGGTCCCCAGGCTGGCACAGTGCACCGCTAGAGGAACGGGCTTGGAGATCCACATGCCTGCAGGCCTGGGGGCTGTGGATTACTCAGGGAAGGGAGTCTGGGAATGTGAGGGAGAATGTGACAGGTAAAGAGTGACTTCTGGGGGACTTCCACCAACCAGGCTACTGCACTTGCAGGTAAACGAGGTGGTGTAGAGGAGGGAAACCTGAGGACTTTTAGGGGTCAAACCAATATACCCGCCAGTGTGGGAGATCTGAGCTGGGCTTGTTGGTATAAACTATCTTCTACTGGTGTACACGAAAGCTATGGCTGGACTCTACTATAGTAGCTGCTGGGAGCAGGGAGTGGGCCATGTTAGGCCTGGTGATGATACCAGTTCATGAGAGAACTGAGCCTGGGAGCAGATTCTGCCTTGTGGATTGTGGGCTCACCCATGTGGAACTGCCATACCACCTGATTTGCTTGAGGACTGGAGTGGTGATTTGCTGAGCTAGACATGACCATGGACCCCAAGACTCACGTGTACTGGTGGTGTTGGGAATAGTCTAGGATGGTCCAGGCTGTAGCACCCACAGGTTCACACCAAAAAATTGGGTGTGGGGTGGACTGGGCCATAACACCCATCAGTGCACAGAAAGACTGAGACTCGGGGGAAGACAACTGGGTAAGGGTCTAGCACCTGCTAGCATGCATGAGATTTTGATAGAGTGGACCTCTTGAAAGAACTCCCCTGGTGGGCTGTCACTCTCACTGTTGAGCATGCAAGTCAGGGCTGGGTGTTTTGTCAGCCACACAGGGCTGTTTCACTTGTTGTCAGGTATGTGGGTGGGTTCTGGTGGGGATGGGGTAGGCCAGGCAAGACCAGGCCAAACTATAGCACATTGGCATGCATGGGAGCCAGGATGGGGTGAGGGCCATGCTGGGCTGGGTTAGGCTAGGCTATTACACCTACTGGTTTGCATGAAAGCGAAGGATAAGAGCAGGCTGGGCAGGGATAGGCTGCAGCACCCATCAATGAGAGTTGGGAATGGGGGCAGTCCAGGCCAGGCTGTAGCATCTAATGGCAAAGTCCAAGACAGGATGGGTTATCCTTTGCTGGTTTGGCACAACCACAAGCATATGCAAGATCTGTGGCTAGGAGTGCATGTGGTTGGGGAACTAAGGGGATGTCCCAGCTAGGCTGCTGTTCCCACTGGTGTGAGTGGAAGCTGGAATAGGGGCAATGAACTGGGCTGGACATGGCTACTGTATTCCTTGGCATGGGTGTGGACTGGGTCTGTTGTGTGCCAGTCAGGGCTAGGCCTTAGCACCAGCTGGTACTTACAAGAGCCAGAATGAGTGTAGGACAGGTTGGGCTAGGTCTTGGCACCCACTGAACCATGTGAGACCTGGGCCTAGGGGTAGACCAGACAGAATTGGGCTGTAGCACTCAACAGTAAAAGCTAGAATGGATGTGGGGTGATCAAGCAAGGCTGCTATATCTGCCAGGACAGGAGGTGAGCTAAGTTTGGCTAGGCCAGGGACTCACTGGTGTGTGGGAGGTCTGCCACTGGGAGGTGACCTGACAGAGGAATTTGCTCCCTGTAGGGAGCATAAGAACCCCAGGCTGCTGGTCTGGGTTAGGCAGCATCCACCAGCTTGAGCTGGAACTGCAGGCATGCTGGGCCAAGTCAGGCTGCAGCATGCACTGATGAATGCCAGACTGGGCCACAGTTCCCACCTGCACACATAAAACCAGGATGGAGGACAAGCTCGGTAGAGGCACTGCAGGGGCTCCCCTGCTGGGCCACTGCTCCCACTAGTGATCCTGAGAGTTGGGACTCAGGGCAGACCAGACTAGGCAAGCTACAAAGCCCTTTGGCCTACATGTGATCTGGGTTAGGGAAAAGCTAGGCTGGGCTTAGCAACCATATCCACTGCTGCATATATGAGCCAGAGTAAGTTCAGGCCGATTGTGCTTTCCTGCAGCATTAGCTAGCAGGTGCTGGGACGTGGGGCAAGTCCTCTCAGGCTAAACCACAGTACCGCATGTAAAATGAAATATCTGGCAGTGGGCCTAGTAAGGAGATTGAGGACACTGGTCCGATGGGCTGCATGCAGCTCTCACTGGTAAGCATGAGAACCAGGGCTGGGGGTAGACCGGCTGGACAGGTAGTGGCACCTGACAGCGTGAGTGTGGACTGGATAGTGTGGGTTGGTTAGGCTGAGCTAGGCTCCAGTGCCCATTGATGGATGTGTATGAGAGCTGAGTGGGATGCAGGACAGATTGGCCCAGTCTGTGGCATACCTGGGCATGCACAGGAACCAGGAACTGGGCATGGGCAAGGTGGAGGTTATTGGGGATCACCCTGGCTATGCTGCAGTTCCTGTTGGTGTGTGTGAGAACCACGTATGTGGTGGGCAGCGTTAGGCTGGACCACAACATCTTTTGGTTTGCATTTGAAATGGAGCTGGGGATAGAACTGACCAGGTTACAGTAATCGCTGAGGTGGATGATGGACTGAGCTGTACCCTGCACTGCCTAACACACACAGGAGTCAGGTCGGGGTCACCTCTAGCAAGGTTTCTTTGGGGACCTCCCCCACCCCCAACTTGTATATTGGTCTCAGATCTCCAACTACAGTGGAAATCACAGGACCCATTCCTCGATCCTTCCCGTCCTATCAGTGGGCTTACACGAGCATGCATCACTCTCAACTGTGTAAACATCATCACAAATAAAATGAATTTTATTATTGAAATTTTTTATCAAAAATTACCAAACTACAAAAAAA